TCTCTCTCCCTCCTTCTTTCCTCTGTACTCTCTCTTTCTAAGGATCTTGCCTTTTCACTCACTGGCATCACCAAGCCACCAACTCGGAAACCAGGCTTTTCTATGACATTTTGTATCCCTGCCCTAGCTGATATTAAAGATATTGCAGATCTACTGAGTGGCTTAATTTATTCTTGCTAACAAAGCTGTGTTGGTCCTATATAGGCCTTTTGTTTTTATTTAAGTTAATTTCTTAAGCAAGCCTTGATTCGAGGCTCCCCTCAGGAGGTGGGAAGACCCCCACTCATGTCCTGGATTTTGGCTATCAGCTTGACTTTATTCTCCATCTCAGATGTCATTCTTTGCCCTGGTTACTCTGAGAAGGCAAACCATCACCTGCTACTGCCTCACTGCAGATTGTGAGCCCCTTAAATCGTTTTTAGTTCCACCCTGCTCCTACTGTTTCTGAATCAAGCTAAGGCACTCACATTTTTAACTTTGTATTAATTTTTATTTTCATCACTAATGTTACTGTTATTTCTTTGTTACTCTTGCCTTGGAGGGTCTCACTGTTTCCTTTGGATCTTGGATACTTACCTGATATCTCAATGTCAGTGTGTATGCACTCTTTGTTGAATACCACAGATATACTATGTGGCTCTCTTATTGGGTTCTAAAGCTAATATATTTTTCCTAGTTTTAATAAACTGAAAGGATCTATTGATACTATAAGATTGGCTTCTCAGATGATGGTAAAATTTTGGCTAGTATCTTAAAAGAGATCAGAACTAACAGTTTTATTTTCATCTGTGTTGAAATTTATGTTGCTGTTTTTTTCTCCCTATTATTCTTTGAACATTGTGCTTTCTAAATGTCTTTTGAAAAGAAATAATGAGACTCTTTGTACATGTAAAAAGTCTATTCTCTTACACAAATTTATTTATAGAATGAGCTACGTGCGATTTGTTGGCACTAAAAGAGCTAATTCTTCTGAGAAATTGGTTTATTTACTCATTTTTTGAAAATTTCCTTTCTAGGCTTTATTTTTTAGTCTGGGAAAAATAGACAATCTTTGTTTTCGTCCTCATGCAGGTTGGTTCTTTCCCTTTTCTTTCTTTAAAGCTGTGTTAGTAGTTTAGTATTTTCAAGAAGTGTTTTGGTTGCTACTCAGGATAATAATGGCACATCCACAGCTTCAGGAAGAAGTTTCTGTCTTACCTATGATTATCTCAAGGCCTCAGAAGACCTGCCAGGAGAGGATGTACATTCTCTCAGTGTTTCTGTGTCAGTGAGCTCTTTAGGCACAACTCACCGCTGACTAACTCTTCGATCCAGCCCTGTATGCAAACAGAGTGGCTGCCATGGCCATTTCATTTGGTGAAGGCCAAAATGACTGCTGGCAGCTTGAATTTTTTCCCTGTCGGCATGGGCAGACTCTCGCTATGCCTCACTTGCAGGGAAACCACATTTAGTTGTGTGCACACTGCACAGTCCTAAGGAATACTCTTCATATTGATTGCCATGGCACTCCTTATGTTTGTGCATTGACCATTAGTGCTTTCTTGTAAGACTGTTTCCTCTGGAAAGTGCTGTTAAATGCAGAATATTCAGGAATATGGGTGTATGGATTGGTTGGTTAACTATATATTAGATATAAACATGGTTCTGAAGGAATTAGGTATAGAGGGAGTGTGTTGGACTAGGAAATTGAAATAGTCCCAAGGACAGGTGTCTATTCTCATCTAGTAGGGTTAAGAGGGGAAAAACGCAGGGTGCAGTGGGAAGATAGTGTGTACTGAGTGAGGTGCTGAAAAGGAAGGGAAGTACCCAGTGGAAATTGGAGGGGTGAGCACTGAAGAGAAACAAACCTCATGGCTAGTTCTGTGAGAGCTTACCTTGATAAGGTTACAATTTTATTTTTATTATTACTATTTTCTTACAGACAGAGTCTTACTCTGTCACCCAGGCTGGAGTGTACAGGCAGTCATAGCTCATTGCAGCCATGAATGCCTGGGCTCAAGTGATTTTTTCTGCCTCAGCCTCTCAAGTAACTGGGTCTACAGATGTGTGACATCACACCTGTTAAAATATTTATTTTTTATTTTTTATTTTTTGGTAGAAGTGAGTTCTATGTTGCCCAGTGATATGGCTTGACTATGTCCCCACCCAAATCTCATCTTGAATTCCCACATGTTGTGGGAGGGACCTGGTGGGAAGTAATTGAATCATGGGGTAGGTCTTTCCTGTGCTGGTCTCATGACAGTGAATAAGTCTCACGAGATCTGATGGTTTTAAAAAGAGGAGCTCCCCTGAACAAGTTCTGTCTTTCTTTGCCTGCTGCCATCCATGTAAGATGTGACTTGCTTCTCCTTGCCTTCTGCCATGATTATGAGGCCTCCCCAGCCATACGGAACTATAAGTCCATTAAACTCTTTTTCTTCCCAGTCTCGGGTATGTCTTTATCAGCAGAATGAAAATGAACTGATACATCCAGGCTAATCATGAACTCTTGGCCTCAGACAATCCTCCCACTTTGCCCTTCCAAAGCACTGGGATTACAGGTGTGAGCCACTGTGCCTAAATTTTTTTTTTTTTTTAATACATCAGGAATTATTGTTATGAATTATTATTACTTGAAATTTTATAATCATGGTGATCATTGAACAACATTTGAATAAGATTTAAAAATCTCACTTTATTAGTTTTCCATTGCTGCCATAACAAGTTACCACAAATTTATCAGCTTAAATAACAAAAATTTATTAAGTTACAATTCTGTAGGTCAAAAGTCTGCCCTGGGACTCAGTGAGCTCAAATCAAGCCATCAGCTGGGCTACATTCCTTTCTGTAGGCTCTGAGTAGGGTCTGTTTCTTTGCTGTTGACACGTCTTAGAGGTTGCTCATATTCCTTGGCTCATAGCCCCTGTTTTTCCGTCTTCAAAGCCAGCAATGTAGCATTTCTCTGACCTTACTTCCAGTGTCATATCGCTGTCCCTTTCTTCTGAGTTCCTGTTCTACTCTTAAGGACTCACCGACATAATCCAGGATTATTTAATGTAAACTCACTAGTAATCTTAATTTCCCTTTGCCATGTAACTTAACATTTACAGATTCTGGGTGTTAAGACATTGCCATATTTGGGGAAAGAGGGTCTTATTTTCCTACTACACTTGGTATGATGGTTTTAGTAATAGATAACATTCACTGAACATTTACCATTTTCACTGTGCTCAGTATTATATAAGATTTATGCACAAAGCAGCCCTAAGAAATAAGTACTCTGATTATTTTTATTTTACTGATGTGGAAATTGTGACACAGAGAGGACTAACTAACTTGTCCAAAGTCACATAGTAACTGGCAGGGACAGTCTTGACATTCATGTTGTGCTAGAGTCAGCACCCTAAGCAGTTTGCTGTTCTGTCATCTTTTTTTTTTTTTTTTTTTTTGCTTACGCTGTTTTTTCCTCTGAGAACTTTCCCATGTATTGAGAGTGATATCCATTTGTGTCCATTTCTTACAATATGACCCTATTATATGGCTGGCTATAAGTATTTGAACTATCAATGGACAGTTGGCTTAAACTGACCATATTAGACTTTCTCCCTGAAAATTTGCATATTGTGACACAGGATTCTGATAATTGATTGGAGGCACTGGAGTAGGGAGGACATGTTTTAGTACCTGAGTAACTATTTCTGACCCCATATCTACACAATTAATCAGTTCACTTATATAGAGAGGAATGAAGTAGGTATACAAATAGAAGTAGGGAAGATAGTTCATGTAGTTACAGAATAAAAGAGGGTATTGTCTGAATTTCTTATAACTTTCCACTTTATTATAATTCTAGTACGCTGTGAAGTTGTACTCCACTTTTTGCCTTCGGGGTCTGTGATATTCCCTTTATCTTTTTCCTATATTCTCCTTTTTACTTAAACTAGGCTGCCTGGGTCTTTGTATCTTGAAATCATAAGAGATCTTAACTAGAATTCTCAATACATTAGTTTTGTATTCTCATCTTCTTTCTTAAATATTTATTAATTTTGCCTTATAGAATACCAGACGCCATGTATCTGAGGAACTCAAATGCTAAAATGAACTGTAACAGTGTGGTGATAATGGTGCTTTCATCATTAGTATTTCAAAATTTATTTCAGTGTAAGAATGTGAGACATTCCAGTATTGTCACCGCTTATTCAACTTCATCGTAAAACAGTTTATGATGTTTATTCAGGAAGTTGGAAGGAAGCTTTAAGGGTGATTATTCTACTTAACTCTATGTGGTACATTTTCTCAAGATTAAGAAAGAGTATGTATTTTTCTTTTCTTTCTTTATACTTTTCATGGAGAGAGAGAAGGGTTGTGTTCTCACTCCTCGATATCTTGAATAGGGTGTCCTGTGTCAAGATACCGAAATTATCCACATAGGCCAGTGGTGCACAACCAGGGGCAATTTGAAAATTTTGGGTGAGTGACCTTTGAACCTTATCTAGTCCTGACATTCCATGAGACCTCTCATTTTATATGCTAGGCCATTCTCATGCTAATCATAGTGAAACCTTATATTGGAAGAAAATGACAGAATTTCTATGTATTTTAATGACCCTTAAGGACTCAGCCCATACAGCAAAAAAGATGCTTTTTTCCCTATAAGAGCTGTGCTTTTTGTAATGACATTTATTAGACATCAAGAGGGACTCAGATATTATTGCAATGTGGTTTCTTACATGAATATAATACACATGTATTTCTTTGAGCTTACAAAAAGATATGAGTTGAAGACTAAAATGCCTGTTACAAACAGGTACAAAACTGAAATTTATTTCAGAGAATTTGCTTCTCATATTTATCTGTTTGAAAGCCACCACCATTGCAGTGCCACAGAGAAATCATGAAAGAATATCATAAAAAATAAAAATGAACAGCATCCTTTATCTTTATTATTAATGAGCAGTTAAGTGTTTATTAAAAATATCCTTTGTGTTTAATCTAGAACAAGTGGCTTTTTGAAATGATTCTTTTTTTTTTTTTTTTTTCACAAATAGCACTTTTTATTTGACACTAACTGAAGTCTGAACTTTAAACAGATTTTTGGACTGGTGGTTCATATCCATCAGCTCGTTCAACTTTAGCACCTGTCTCGTCCCCAGTGGCTTTTCCAGAACTACTGCCTTCACCGTGAAGCTCCATGAGCTTTCCCAATTCAAACTTGGGCTTCTTCGGCATTTTTACTTTTCTAACGAAGACATCATGGAGAGGATAAATAGATTGGCAAGCCTTTTCTATGTCTTTTCCAATGCTGTCTGGAATCAATTTATTGACCACTTCTTTCAAGTCATTTGTCTGCACCTCTTGGGTCATGATTTCCATCATCTTCTTCCGGATTTGGCGGACCTGCTGGTGCTGAGCATAAGAGGTCTTCCGATTTTTTTACTGCTCTCTTGGCAATTAATATGCCAGTAACACTACAGTGAGTTTGTCTATATCCTGGAGGTCCACAGAAGCATCTGACAAAGGATTGTCCCGGTTGCTCATGTTCTGGTAAGTTGAGACACTAACAGATATTACAAAGCAGTGTTAAAAACACACACATGGGTTTCGTCCTGACTGTCTGATCTCAGGAAAACAACAAACCTCCCTAGAAGGATTTACTAATAAATTACTATGTTGGCCTATAGATATCATTTGACATGGACTTTAAAATTAGCTAAGATTTAAAGAATCACATGGAGTAATTTTATAGTCAAAGCTCGTCATTTTTATCAATCATTAGTTGTAATATGAATAGCCATAGACACAGGGTAAATATGAAGAAGGTGGTTTTCCCTTCTTTGTAAGATTTTACTCATAGGTATGAAAATATGTTGGTGAGTGAAGGAATAGGATTTTTATTAGTAAAATAAATGTTTTGAGACACTTAGAGCTAAGAGGATGAATACATGAAATGATTACATTATCATCAGCAAGTGTTGTGGCCCAAAGAATAGGTTTGTAAGTATATAAACTTGAGTTGGCCCTAAAGAAGAACATGTTAATTTCCTTGTGAAGGTCCCTCAAGGTCCTGGATGGTTGCCTGGTTTGTTTGAGAAATGTTCAGGTTTAGTAGAATAAGCTTCCTTCTGAAATATTTGATTCATTTCTTGAGCTTTTAAAGATTTTACCTTGTGTAATTGTCTTACATCAGATGACAAAGATGAAAAGTTTTGTTTTATGTTTCCTTCAATCTAAATATTGGTATAAGAACATTCTACCTTTAGGGCAATAACCCTTTTGCTTTCTTGATCATTATAAATCTATACTGCACTATGAGGCTCCATCTCTGAACTTGCAAATTATTGCTACATAAGGATTTTCAGCAAGTTTTTTTCTTGTGAATATCAGAAGTTTAGAAATGAACGGGAGTTTAGTGATTATGAAGCACAGTGTCAAGATGTGAATAAACAAGGGTTGGGATTGAGCAACCTGCCCAAGGTTAGACAACGTGAAGAGGAATACTCCAGAGATTCAGGCTTGACAAAAATTCCTATGAATCTCCATCAAGGTTGGAACCAGTCCTGGTTTAGATAAAATCATTCTTAGACAAGTTCATTCTGATGGTGGTTTTAGTTTCCCCAGACCTCTTTATTTTGGTATCAGTGTATCATGTTCTGTCCTTTTCTCTTTTTGTTGTATAAAATTATTGTTCTGGGCCCTCTAAGTTGTATCTGAAACATGAAATTTAGATCCAGGCTGCCTGGGTATAAATGTTGACTTGGTCACTCACTAGCAATGTGACCTGGGGCAAATTACCAAACTTTTCAGTACTTCACCTTCCCTATATGCACAATGGAAATGCTGACAAATATGAGGCTTATATAAAATACTGCATATAAAACACTTAATAAGGACTTAGCTCATGGTAGGTAACTGGCAGTGGTAACAATGATAACTGCTTTTATTATTGTTGCTATCAAAATAGCACCCAACAGATATTTCAAATTTCTATCTTCTGCTGCTGTCTTCTGCCTGTATCTTCTACATCTCCAAATTTGGTTGGTGGCAACATGATGTACACATAGGCATCAGTAGTGATTCCTGCTTTTTTTATTTTTAAACCCTCCACCATGATCCAATAGCTACTATTATAAATATTGTTGATTTTAAATTTCTAAATATCTCTAAATATTTATCCTCATCTCTCCAATGTTATTGCTACTATTTCATTCAGGTCCTCGGTAGTTCTTGTTAAAATTTTTAGAAATAACTTTTAAAGTTTTGTAAATATGAGGCTGGGTGTGGTGGCTTATGCCTGTAATCCCAGTGCTCTGGGAGGCTGAGGTGGTGGAATTGCTTGAGATCAGGGGTTTGAGATCAGCCTGGGCCAAACAGTGATAGCCCATCTCTACAAAAAAATTGTTTTTTAATTAGATGGGTATGGGGTCATATGCCAATCCTCCCACCTCAGCCTCCCAAATAGCTAAGACTAGCTGTTTGGAAGGCTGAGGTGGGAGGATTGGTTGAGCCCGAGAGATAGAAGCTGCAGTGAACTATGATGGCACCACTGCACTCCAGCCTAGGTGACAGAGTAAGACCCTGTATCTAAAATACAATAAATTTTAAAAGTCTTGAAAATATTACACAGAAAGAAGCAATTTCATCTGTTGTAAAGATAGGTTGCCCAAATAAATTACACAATCACCAACTCAAGAGATCTGAATTAGGTTTCATTAATAAAATAAAAACATTGGTATTTATCAATATTCATAAGGAATCACAGATAAAACTATAAACAAAGACTTTATACCAAAAAATTTATCAAATACAAGGTTTTGGGCCTATCTGAGTCTGTTTTAGGTGCTATAACAAAGCATCAGAGACTGAGTATGCTGTAGGAACAGAAATCTATTCCTTATAGTTCCTGAGGCTGGGAAGTCCAAGATCAAGGTGCCAGCAGATTCAGTTCTGGTGAGGGCCGCCCTTCACTTCCAGTTGCATCCCCACATGGCAGAAGAGGCGAATGCTGTGTCCTCACAAGGTGGAAGGTGGAAGGTGGAAGGTGGAAGGTGGAAGGCAAGAAGGGCACAAGGGCCAGACAGCATTCTGAAGCCTCTTTTATAAGAGGCACTAATTCCATTCACAAGGGTGAGGCCCCCATAAACTTAATTACTTCCCCAAAGGTTCCACTTAATACTGTTGCAATTTAGATTAAGTTTCAACATGAATTTTGGAGGGTACACAAACATTCAAACCATAGCAATATCTACAGTCTACCCAGGATTTGTCGTATTTCTTCCCACTTAAGGTGCAAAGCCTCAAGTCAATGTTTTGACTTTAAATTTGGCTATCTACAATAATCCTGCTTATTTTTAATATCCACTGGCAAGCATTGCAGTGGGTGACAGCCCCCATTGCCTCCTGCCTCTGGCTACATTCCAGCTCTTTTTTCAGTCTGATTCTAAGTACTGCGAATGACAAAGTAGGCTCTAGGGATGTGTTTAATAAGAAAAGCTTTGTGGTGTTTTATTGTATGTGTTGTACAGAAAAAGTACCATTTTTCTTTTCATCTTTAGACGTTAGATGCCAGCTTCACAGCAGGAAGGCATTTTTGAGGAAGGCAAAGACAAAGCAGAGAGTATCAGAAACAAGTGGCCTGATGCAGCCCAAAGCAGTTAATATCTAAATCTTGTTTCCTTTCTTTATGTATGCACTGTTTCACTTAAAGCTTTAAAATTCAAAAAACAATCATTCTAATCTTTCCTCTTGTTAAGATTTTGTAATGACTTGACTTAAAAAATATTGGGAAAGCCCAAACATTAGACACAGAGTTAAGTATGATGGGACATTGGACTCAGGTACGCAATGAAGCAGCTGGCAACCAAGTCTTGTAGCAGACTGCATTTCACGTGATGAATATTAACTGCCTACAATAATATGCTGAGGTATTATCAGGTCTGTAAGCTGACTTTCAACATAAAATTTTGTGTGCGTCTTCTTGTAACACCTTCAACTGGACAATACTCAATGTATTGGTAAATATTTTTCCCCTAAGACAGTTTCTTAAACTTTGGTTTTTTCTTTAGAGAAGATACTGAGTTTTTTGGTCTCGAAAATGACTTGGCATTGTACATAGTTCACAAAAAGTGACGGCTGGATGATTCAAAGGGGGTACTTTCACATAGTTGGTGTTTCAAGAATGGACTTTTGTTCTTTTGAGTTATGAGAGCACAAGATCTATAAATCTAGACCTGTTATAAAAGTTATAAATAGCCTCCGGATTAAAATGTGGGCCTTGGGCTACAGGCGTCCATTATAACTTCTTACTTGCTATATATCTGTAATGGAAAGATTTTGGTATATAGAATTTTAATTTCTTAGATGCCTTTAAGCTCGATTATTCTTCCATTTCTTTGATCTCAGGTTGTTGCCTCATGTGACTCATGAGAAAAACAGGTGTTGAATAGCTTCTTTCTCCACAATAATCATATTGGTCTAGAAGACTTATATGCTCAATGTTGGGGGATATCATCCCCGGTGTGAAGGTAGGCAGTTTATCTGAAGAAAACACAAATGTAAAAGTATATGTTATATTAGTTTGAATAACCATGCCTTTAGGAGAAATTGCAGAGTTGGTGCCTGATGGGATGGGGTGGGTCAACAAGCTCAGGAACATCTGCCTCCTCCAGAAATATACCTTCTGGATATAAATATACCTCCAGAAATGTATTTCCGGAGGGAGCAGATGTTCCAGCGCTTGTTGATATGAAGATTGTGGGCAGATTCTCCATGACCTGCTTATCTCCTGTTGTTGTATTAGCTGAGATGCAGATGTGAGGTTGGCACAGATAAAACTTTGTGCTTTGAACTTTTTTCCACACAGATGGAACTTTACTTACACCATAATTAGGAGACTGGCTGCTATGGAAATAGTATGCTCACTTTTATTTAAGATCTAGCTTTTAATATAAAGAGTAACTTTGGGATGTTTTAATCCAAAGAAATGCAGTTTTGAAGAATTATTATTTTTATGAGGATCGAAGTTTAATTTCACTTGTTTTTCAAGGCCCTGTTAAAACATTCTGAATGATACACTAGCTATGGGCAGGAGACTTCGAGCTCCCAGATGAAGGAATTGTTGGTGGTTGTGAAGTAGTCAGTGTACTAATGGACACATGGATATTAGCATCTCGTGTCCTTTTTGATATATCTGTTTAGTTAAAGTGTTTACCCAAAGATTAGATGTAAGTTAAGAAGTCTAGAGACAAGTTTGTAAAATTGATAGATATTTGAGGTTTCATGGGATTAAACTGAGATTCCTACCTAGGAAGCTGCTGTGTCCGTTGAATTGTAAGCTAGCATAAGGCTAAATATATATAATCAGATAGACTTTCCTGTGAACTATTCAGTAGTATAGGTGGAGGTACACTGTGTAGGTGCAAGATATATTTCTG